ACAGTGCCCCCCACGTCACCCTGCCATGACAATGGGGCCTTATTGCACAGAGCAGAGGGAGGATCCCACAGACTTGTGCTGATTGCTCACCAGGCTTCAGCTTCATGAGTTTTACGACACTGCAACAGGCTTTATTACCACAACACTTCCTTCTGCCTCATTTCATCAACTGAATTCTGAACACACTTTCCAGCAGAAATAGTTGTGCTTCCACTGCTTGCACCCAGCAGCTTTCTTCTGGAGAGGTGATGGAGGGGCTGGGATGAGCCATGGGCAGTGACAAGGCTGGGGAAAGTCTGAATCCAAACTTGAAGCACCCTGGGTCTTGCCTAAAATGTAGGATAAATGTTCTGGTGCCTCCTCTCTCCTCAGTGGCTGGGGAGGTTGAGCTCCATCCCGGGGGTGGCAGCATACCATCCCCCATCCCCATTTTGTGTGCAGGTGAGTCGTATGTGGTCCAGAAAAGCTACACAGCTGTGGAGGAGGACGAGCTGACCCTCAAGGAGGGTGATACAATCGAAGTCATCCACAAGCTCCTTGATGGCTGGTGGGTCATCAGGTGAGAGATGCCAAGAACAGGTCAGGTGAGCAGGATTCAGGCAGAGGGAAGGGATGCTCCCATGGTTCTCCACATCAGGGCTGTGGAAGCCGTGGGCTGTTTGGTGCCACTGCCCAGCACTTCCTTTTGCAGGGCTGCTTCTCAGAGTCTGTTCTTTGCCAAATACTAAATGTCCCCTCTGCTGGGGACTTCAGAAATATCCAAGAAGGAGGCAGATGGAAAAAAAATTGTTAGTTATTTTGCCTCTAATTGGTCTGGCACATTTTGCTTTGCAAAATCTCAACTTTCATCTCATCTGCAAGAAACATGAAAGGTAACCCACAGGACACCAGCAGGGGACAGGCATGAACCATGAATCATGGGATATCCTAAGCAGGAGGTGTTCAAGGCCAGGTTGAATGGGGCTTGGAACAACCTGCTCTAATGGAAGGTGTCCCTGCCCACGGCAGGGAGTTGGAACAAGATGATCTTTAAGGTCGCTTCCAAGCCAAACCATCCTGGGATTCTTTGACACCCACAAGGATCATCAAGTCTCTCTCCTGGACTGAGGAGGCAGTTGCAGAGCCACGACTGCAAGTGATGTTGCTTTGTGTTGCACTGCAGGAAGGATGAAACCACGGGTTATTACCCCTCCATGTACCTGCAGAAAGCTGGAGAGGTAAACTCTGTGAAGAGTGAACTGAGGAACCGGAGTGCTCCTCCACGGAGGTAGGAGAAGCCCTGGGTGGGAGGGGGGTTGGACTAAAGCTCTTCCTTGAGCAAGATGAAATTAAACCAGACAGTGGGTTGTGGTGTCACCTGCTTGCCCTGTCAATGAGGAACTGCTTGGATAGATGTGAGCAGAGCAGACAGACCAGGCTGCAGCAAAACCAGCTTTGTGCTTCCCAGCTCCCACAAGTACCCCAGCATTGCTGGTGCCAGGCTGTGTGATCCTTGATCCAACAGGTCCTCCAGCCAGGGGCATTTCTCCGTGTCCTTCTGCAAAGTTTATTTTCTGGGCTAATCTCCTTTAATTTTCAAATTGGCCATTTTCTTATTTCCCAAGTGCATGCACTGAATCTTTAAGAGGCGAGATTTGACTAAACAGAGCTGCCAAATGGCCTAATCTGATAGGAGGATTTGAGCTAATGGAAGGGATTTTATTTTGATTAAAAAGATAAAAAGCAATAATAACTCATTAATTCTGGTGTGGAGAGAATGGCTAGGAAGGGCAGAGCTTGCAGCTGTCTTTTCTTCCCTGCAAGAAAACACATCAACCCTGCTCTAAAATCTCTCCAAATCCAGTTCTGATGGATCATGGACTGGATGTGGGACAGTGTAAAGTGGTCCAGATCCACCTATTTGAGTGCGGGGATGCTTGCTGATACCCTTGGGGGAGGTGAGGTGGCCTGTTCCAAGGTGAGTGTCTTGTCCCCCCACCATGGTGACACTGCCCCTGCAGTGCTGGCGCTGGCAGCCAGGCTGAGCCCTGTTGCAAAAGTGGTGACCTGCCATTGTGGGTAAGAGCTTTGATATGACATGGAGTGTGTTCTCAGACCAGGAAGGGGCTGAAGGTAGACAGACACATTGGCTCAAGAAGAGCAGGAGGATGGTGCCATGAGGTGGAGTTCAGGAGCCACCTCACTGCTGCCGTGGTAGTGGAGGCAAAGCAGTGGCCTCCGTCTGTGTGCCTGGGGGTGGTCCTGATGCTGTGTGTTCTCCTGTAGTAGCACCGTGCTGCTCAGCCTTTAACTTCTCTCAGTAGTTTGCTGTGGGTTCAACACTGCACATCCAGGTGCGTGCTGACACATGCCCCACGCTCCATTCCCCTGCATCTGATCCTTGGGCACTGGGGAGCCATGCCAAGCCCTGCAGCAGGGACCTCAGTGTTGCAGCCAGGATAGGTGCTGTATGTCCATTCATCAAAGAGCTATAGATCACTTACAGGGCTTTCTTGGATAAACCTCATGCCCATCTCATCCTCCCAGCCTTACACCCAATCTTCCTCACCATCCCCATTGTTACCTTCCAGACTTATGCTCAGGGTTCACCCTTCAGCATTTGCTTCTAAAGCACCATCCAGCTGCCTCTGAACACATCGTACATCGTGTCCCTCGTGGCTCTCCTCGAGGGCTGGCATCCACCAGGCAAAACTCAAAAGCAGAAATTGGAGTTTGGGTGAAGCAGCGGAGGAGACACGGGGAAAGAAATGTGTGGTGTTAGAGCTGCCAGCATGAAAATGAAAGTTTTGTTTCTCACTCCCTGCAGATCCACCATCCGAAATGCGAAGAGCATCCATAAGCAGGGCCGGAAGCAGATCAGCCAGGAGACTTACAGGAGGAACAGCAAGAAGTACATCCAGAGCCGGCGGAACATGCAGGGAAATTCCCAGAACAAGGCCAATGTCATCAGTAAGTCTCAACGAGACTGGAATCCTGCAGGCATGGCCTGTGACCCCCAGTGCTGGCAGCTGGAGCAGGATGGCACACTGAGGTCACACCATGCCCATCTGCCTTTTTCCTATGGGGAAAGTGTGTGCAGGGAGGTGTTTCTTTCAGCGAGGTTTCTTACCCCTGGCTATAGGTCAGACAGAGTGGAATATGAACCTGGAGGGAGGTCAGCCCGCATTTGGGACCTGTGCTTTCCTCTGTGCACCTCACCTCCCCATTACCACTGCCATTGCCATGTACGTGAGCTGTCAGCAGAGCCCCCAGAGGGAAGTGTTGTATGAAGAATCGTGGAATCATAGAATGGTTTCAGTAGGAAGGGACCTTAATGATTATCTCGTTCCAACCCCACCTTCCACTAGCCCAGTTTGCTCCAAGACCCATCCAACCTGGCCTTGAACACTTTCAAGCATGGGACAGCCACAGCTTCTCTGAGCAACCTGTGCCAGGGCCTTACCCCCCTCACAGGCAAGATTTTTTTCCTAATATTTAATCTAACCCTTCCCTCTGTCATTGTGAAGCCATTCCTCCTTGTCCTGTCACTCCAGCCCCCTGTAAAAAGCCTCTCTCCATGAGAAAGACGGCTGCCATTGAGGTAGACCCTTTAGATCTGGCAGTCCCCATGCAGTACCCATGACCTTCCCAAGGGAGAGCAGCTCCTTGTGCAGACCTAGAGCTGGGATTTCCCTGAGAAGAGTTCCCAGCTGGGCACAGGTGGGCTTATCCCACCACCCTCACCTACATGAAGACCATTACAGGCAGCAGGGAGGAGAGGCAGAAACTTTGGTGGCCATCACATAGGAAGCTGCTGAACGTTCACGAGGGTAGTGGCTGGTGGAGCACTTTGATCCATCTGTACATCTGCTTTGCTCGCAGTTGAGAAAAACGAGCCACAGGAGAATGAGGCCAAGGCTCAACCTGCTGTTCCTCCTCGTCCCAGCAAAGACCTCATCTTGAACCGCTGCACTGAGAGGACCCGGAGGAAGATCCTGTGAGGATCCTCTGAGCCCCCACGCCAGACACCCACTGCTTCATCTCCTCCAGCCCCTGCACAGCCAGGCCTTGGAGCCAGACCAGGGATCCATGTGGTTCTGGCAGCCACCACAGGCCACGGGGGGCTGCTGGGTGAATCGGCGCAGACCTGTGCCCACCCTCACCCTCCATCATGGCCAGCCCAAGGTGTCCTGGGGGCATTGTGAGGAGGGACCAGCCCTGCTCCAACAGCTCCAAGGGGCTGAGACCTCACAGCCACCAGGACTCCTCATCTCTAGATCCCCTTTTATCACCTTTTTGTGTTTTGAATGATTTTGTAGTTTTCATCAGTAAAGGAGAGACACTTGATAGACATCTCAGTGTTCACCTAGACAGTGAATCAGGCAGACCCTGAGGAGCAGGGTGGGTATGGTGACAGAAAAGGTGTTCTCCCTGGGGGATATTGGGCAAGAGCCTCTTGCAAAAGATGCTGGCAGGGAGGAAATTTAGTTGGGGGGATGAAAGGACGGCAGCTTCCTCCTGGAAGGCGGCTTCTTTGCTCCCTGAAGTGGAAAGCGAGGGCTAGGATGTGAGGATAGGGCTGCTTCTCAGAGGGAGTGCGGTGTGATGGCTGGTTTGGGGTGCCACCACAGCCAGCCCTGCCATCGCCACAGCCAGCCCTGCCATCGCCACAGGCAGCCCTGCCATTGCCACGCCAGACGGGGTTGGTCTGGGTCTGCGTTTGGATTTGGGTTTGGGGTGGGGTCTGGGTCTACATGTAGATTTGGGCCTGAGTTTGAGTTTTGATCTTGGTTTGGGTCTGGGCTGGGTCTAATCCATACTAGGGTGCGGATTTAGGTCTGGGGGTATGTTTAGATTTAGAACTAGGTTTGGGTGTAGGTTTAGGTTTAGCTTTGGCTCTGGGCGGCTCTGACGCACCCTCTGCAAATGGCGGCGTTGCCCCTTTAAGGCGAGCGCGCGGCTCCCCCGCGGCAGGGCGCGTGCGCGCAGGGGCGGTGACCCCGCGCGGGGGGGCGGCAAGATGGCGGCGGTCTGAGCGCGCCCATGGCGGGGGCGTTGAGGGCGCTCAGGACGGCGGGGGCGGCGCGGCCGTTCCACCGCAGGGGCCTGAGCCGGGCAGCGGGGCCGCCGAGCACCCGCCAGCTGCGGGAGGCCGAGGAGGCCGCCCCAGTGTTCCAGTACACGGGGAAGGCGGCCAGGCGCAAGGACCGCGTGTTCGTGTGGGGCTTCAGCTTCTCGGGCGCCCTGGGCGTCCCCAGCTTCGTGAAGCCTGACGCGGGCTGGAAGAAGCCGCGGCGTATCCAAGCCACGCCGTACCGCCTGGAGACGGAGGAGAAGGTGGGCCCGGCCCGGCGAGGCCGCCGTTTTCCCCCCCGGAGCCTGGTCAGGGCTCTGCACAGCGAGAACGGCGCTGCGGGATCGGGTTTAAGGGCTTTGTCGTGATTCACAGTTTTTTTGTCGATATAGCAGTGTTACTCGGGATGATTATTGGTATAACTGCAGCAGCATACAGGTTGGAAAGTATATATCTGTAGTTTTGTCAGAGGCATAAGAGAACCAGGGTGTGAAGAACGTTTGCCAGAGAAAACGCGCCTCGCTTCCAGTGGCTCCGTGGCTCCTCCCACACGACAAATAGGAAGCTTGTCTTGAAAATATTACTCTTTTGCCTACATGTTTCACTCGTTGTGCTCTGCTGTTCAGTGCAGAGAAGGTCAGAACATTCATGGAATATCTTGAGCTGGAAGGAACCCACATGGATCATCGACTCCAACTCCCAGCCCTGCACAGACAGCCCAGCAATCCCACCACGCACCCGAGAGCGTTTTCCAAACGCTCCTGGAGCTCTCTTGGTGCCGTGACCATTGCCCTGAGGAGCCTGTTCAGTGCCCGACCACTCTCTGCGGGAAGAACCTTTTCCTGATATCCAACCTAACCGTGCCCTGACACAGCTCCAGCAGTTCCCTCAGGTCTTGTCACTGCTCACACAGAGGAGAGATCCACGCTGAGGTCTGACCTCATTCTCCTCCAGGCTGAACAAACCAAGTGACCTCAGTTGTTCCTCACATGGCTTTTGTCCTGGGCTTTTTTTGGCAAAAGGAATGAAACGGGAATGTTATTCTTTTAATATCTTTTTGTTTGGTTGGGTTTTTTTTGTAATCTGCTGATGCAGGTCAGCAGACACGTCTTCCTGTTGTGTTTGAACGGGGCCAAAATAATACAAAAATAAAGATGTATGCACATGAAAACAAAAAGGCAAAAAAATTGGACTTGAATTTGCACCACTGTGCTTATCACAGAAGAATGTTTCTGATAATTTTTGCAAAATCATACGTGCCTTGAATTCGGGCCATATATGGATGTAGCTTAATGAGGGATGAATGCTGGTGAACAAATAGCGTGGGGTGAAACTTGCTTTTCTGAGCCACAGTTGCTAACCGAGTGGTGTGGGTTTTCTCTGTCTTTAAAGATATCCTCTGCTGCCTGTGGTTATGGATTCACACTGCTGGCCTCCAGTACCACGGACATCACCAAAGTGTGGGGTATGGGGCTCAACAAGGATTCCCAGCTTGGATTCCAGAGGAGCAGAAGAGATCAAAGTAAGGATTGGAGTGTTTTAAAGATTTACAGGGCGGGGAGGGGGGGGCACAAGAGGGCACTGCAGGATACCTGTGGTACAGGAAACTTCAGTTTGAAGGTGTGAAAAATATCAGGAGGCTTTGATGCAGTGCCGGGCTGTGCTTGTTGGTTTTTTTAAAGAGATCTTTTTCTTGAACTTAACTGTGTTTTTCTGTGCTTTGTACTTGGTCAAGGTGTGCCTTTGTTCTATACACTGCACTTACAGAGTTTAGTTACATCCAGGCAGGCATGGAACTATTTATGTGGATGTTTGTTAAGGGGTGGCTTTGAATCTGTAGTTCGATAGTAGACAATGTTAGGGGCTAGTTAATTAATTGATTTTGGCAGGGCTGTTTGCTCACTTCTGTTGCCTATGCACTTATAAACTAAATTCCTTTCCCACAGAGCTCTTTTTATACAGTCGTTTGGTTGGTTGGGGTTTTTTTGGTTGTTTTGTTTGTGAAGCTGTAGGACGTTTTTTTAAATTATTTTAATAGCAAGTTGAATTTTGAAGGAAAAACACATTATTCAGTCATTCTGTCTTATTCCAGGCTCTCAAACCATTTAAGATGATGATTTCTGTGCAGAAAATGGACACTTTTCAAAGGCAAATAGGAGAAACACAAACTTTCATCATAAAATGGCTGTCTCTGAAGACATTCCTCCATAAACAGTCGAGGAAAATCACGTTAAAAGCAGTTTTTATAATGTATAAGAGTGTAATGCATCTGATATGGGCAAAATCTTAAACTTTTTGGAGAAGCAAAGAAAATTGCAGCTACAGTGCAGCATGCTGAGGTTTGCAGTGATGCTGCTTTGTGCTGGCACGCTGGATAGATCCCCAGCTGTGTGTGTACACAGCAAGTGTGAGCTTAAACAGCAGCAGCAAAATGCAGGGGCTGGAAAAGCCTCTCCTGACTTCTGCTTTTAAGGGTTTCAGCTCTTGCTGTGTCTTTGTTCTGCACGTGCTGATGTCTCAGGTGTGTCTTGTGGTTCTCTCGCCTGTCATCTGACCTGGAGATTATTTTTGCCAGAGAATCCAGCAATAGGTTAAGTAGTTTTGCAGTTCAAGCCCTGCTAAGTAAGAGGGTTTGGCAGAATCTGTTGAAAGTGGGAATTCAACAGTGGGATTGCTACTGCTCCTTACTTCCCTCAGGCAAGCTTTCTTTTGGGATGTGCTGCTCATTACTGTTTTACAAACTTACTTTGTTACCCACTGGTTCCAACACTGTAGATGCTTTATTTCCAGGGGAATTTGTGTCTGACTTTTAGGTAGTTGTATCTGAACTACTAATATTTCATTCTTATCCTCCTCTTCCTTAGCCACCTCATTGCCTCTATTCTTCAAAATCCCTCAGCCATCAGTAATGATTACCACAGATCCTAATAGCCTGTGTTGCACTGCTGGAAGGAACAGAGAGAGAGGAAAAGATTTTTTTTTGCTTTGTGACTTCCACGTGTCTTTAGACAGAGACTTGGCTGCCTTTCAGCTCCTGCTCTGTTGCATGGCAGGCACCTGCCATTCACAAGCATCCTGTTGTCACATCCAGTGCCTGCCTGTCCTCACATCCAGTAGTGTCTTACTGCAAAAGGGCTTGTGTAGATTTTCTAGTTTTTTTTTTTAATTCTTATTTTTATTGAAGATAGTGAGAACCAGTTAAAGCACTGCTGCATATGAGCAAAATATTTCTTTGAGTCCTCTGGGATTTGATTTCACTTGTTACAGTGACTTTCTTTGATATCAAAGCTTTTTATCTCCCCTTAACCTTTTCCCTAGTACTGATTTATGTTTTGCTGTTCTTTTTTGCTCCCCCCCCTTGACTATAACTAATTAAATATTCTTCAAGTTACTAAATCTTTTTCAAGTACAGCATGTCATTTTCTTTCATAAATGTTAGATCTCTTATTCCCTGTGGAGCTAGCCTAGCTAGTCTTTCTTGCATTCCTTTTTTCTGAAAGAGCCTTTAATCTACTGTTCTTTAAATATAAAGCCCTAAGATTTTTTGTTCACCTTTCCTGCTTTTTTTTTTCTTTGTGATTCTTGCTCTTGTATCTTGTTTGCAATATCCCCATTTTCACACAGTACTTAGTTTGTGCTTGGTGTTAAGTTCTGGTAATCCAGCCTTATTCATCAAAGTGGTTGAACATATGGCTGAAAGCCTCAGTTTCTCAATTCTGCCACCTGAAGCCTTAATTCAGCCTTTAGGTGTGGTGGACCTTCACCATGGCTTTTACCTTCTCTCTTTCTCTGCAATAAATGTCTGTCAGGCTCCTTTGTTAGTATCTTGGCCTTCTAAAATGTATCTGCTTTTGTAACAAGGGAGAAGTGAGTATGTGAATGTACAATGGAATCAGCAAATATGTGCTAAATTTACTTTATGGAAGCTACTGACTTAACATTTTTCTGTCTTCATTAAGCTAAGGGCTATGAATATGTCTTGGAACCATCTCCAATTCCATTACCACTGGAGAAGCCGCAGCAGACTCGAGTCTTGCAGGTGTCCTGTGGGAGAGCCCATTCCCTGGTCCTGACAGATAGTGAAGGAGGTATAATGTCGCTTGTGCTGTGGACAAGGAATGCCTGACTATGCTTTTATTAAGAGCTCAAAAAAAATTGATTTCTGTCCTTTAGAACTAGACCAACCCCAGGTGGGCTGTCTGCACTGTAAATGGAACACAGGCAGCTGTTGGCCTTTGTGGGATTGCTGCTGCAAGGGAGAAATGTGAGCTCTGCTTGGCTCAAACTGTAAATGTGTTGGGAGATTTTTCACTCTGAGGTTTGTTTATCTTGCCCCAGGCCTGGCTGAAGTGCAGCCTGTTTGTCAGTTCACTCAGACATTTTTGAATGCAGCTTTGGATGGCTATGCCAATACTCCTGTGTTGCTTTCCCCTTGGAGCTCTGGAGTGCTGCATTAATACAAGCAATTAATTAATTAATAGCCCTTTACAGAGAAGATCCTGTTTGTGAATTATCTCTCCATGTCTTTGGGAATTCTCTGGTGCAGTGGCTTCAGTGCTGTGCCAGGCGATTCAGTGCAGCTTCTCAGTGGGGGAGCTGGTTGGTTGGTTGATTTACCACTCCAGTGGGAACACTGATCTATTTGTGAGTCTCCTTGACAACGCAGGATGAACTGGGCAATTCCTGACAAACAGCCAATGGGCTCCAGGTACTGCTGCTGTGCCTGCAACAATATTGCTGGGTTTTGTTGATGAAAATGGATTCGGTCACTTAAATTGAAGTGGACTTGCTTTGAAGAAAGCTTATGCCATTTTTCTGTTACAGTGCTCTCCCTTTCAGACTGAGAATGGCATGAAAATATTTTGTGGACCTGAAAAGAGGCTTTCAGGGGATTGGACAGTAATAAAACTAATGCATTTTATCATTGTTTTTCAGTTTTCACAATGGGAAACAATTCTTATGGACAGTGTGGCCGGAAGGTTGTTGAAGATGAAATTTACAGGTGAGAATTGAAAGATCCTGAACTTTCTTAATGTTAAAAACATAATTGCATGAAAACAACTCTGCAAAAAGGCCTAAGGTGGGAAAAGTCTGGTAGTATAGGCATGCCATTTAAGATTGAGGAGTCTGAGAACAGGCTTTTGTGCTGCAGGCATCAAACAAGTGGCCTGGCTTTGAACCTAGACTGGGCACTAGCGTTCTGCTGACCACATTCACAAAAGACAGAAGGATGGTCAGCATGGGACAGTTCTCACAGGGCGTAGAGAGAAAACCCAACCTTCATAAATTGCTTGAGGTAATTGGTGTTAGTAGTTGGGCTTTCTCCCTTTAACTGCTCAGAGCCCACGTGCAATTCCTGAGGGTGTTAGAAATGCCATTTAGTTATGAAAGAGGTGTGCTTTTGTTGAATCTCTGTTGTAACTGCCTCTGAATCTGTAGTGCTTTTCCTTCACAGGGTTTTTTGTGGGCCACACCAAAGCATATGCTCAAAATGCTCTGTAAGATAGCAGTGAGCAAGTGGATAGTGGGAATGTGTAAGTGGAAGTTTCTGATTCCCTGGCAGGACCTAGAAGAAATCTTGCTCATTGCTCTCTCTGTGATCCACAACACTTGGACTGTAGAGTTTGAGAAAATAGCTGTAATTAGGTAGCTTTTGTTAGCCTTGATTCTGCAAGTCAGTCATTGGATTGTTCCTAATTCCTGGTATTGTGAAAGAATGACAGGGATGTTAGCATTACACTGTGCTCTGGAATATTTGGTTCATCTCTAGTTAAGTGTAGTGTTTATATAGGTGCTGCAGTATTATGTAGTGCTCATTCTAGTGTGCTCGTTCTAGACTAGGGACCATCTTTGAGGATTGCTCCTATCCCTAATTCCCATGAAAAGTTATATTTGAAAAGTGACAGTTCTTATTTTCTTAAAGAAGAGAATGTAAAATTATGTTCCTTCTTCATGCAGTTATTTTGCATGTGGAACTACACGTGGACAAATCTCTTCCTGTAATAATAAAGTGTCTTTCAGTAAAGGCAGGTTTATCTTTGCTTTTTTCAGTTGCAGTCCTCTGAAATCTTCTGTGTTGTGTTTTTTCTTCTCGGTGGTTGTTTGGTGTCCAGTGAAAGCTACCTCATTCATCAGCTGAAGGAGTTTGACAGCAGAGTTGTCCAGGTAAGAGGATCATCTGAACTCAGTTCTGAAGGTGGATTGAAAGCTGAGCTCAGAGGGTGGCAGTCACTGGCATGAAGCCAAGTTGAAATCAGTAAGGAGTGCTGTATCCCAGGGGTCAGTACTGGGTCCAGTCCTGTTTCCTTTTTTCTAGTGATCTGGATCACTGAGTGTGCACTTAGACAGTTAGCAGGTTAACAGATGGCATAAACTGTGAGGAGTGGCTGATAAACCAGAGGATGGTGCTGCCATCCAGAGGCTGGAGAAATGGGCCTATGTGAACCTCATCAAGTTCAGCAAGGGGAAGGGCCGGGTCCTGCCACTGGGTAGGAGCAGCCCCAGACCCCACTGTGTGCTGGGGGTGACTGGCTGTGAGCAAAAGGCCCTGGGGGTTCTGGTGGGCACCGTGTTGACCATGAGCTGGCATTGTGCCCTTGCTGCAGAGAAGGCAAATGATGCCCTGGGCTGCATTAGGAGGAGCGTTACCAGCAGGTCAAGGGAGGTGGTTCTTCCCTTCTGCTCAGCATTGTTGAAGTACAGTGTCCATTTCTGGGCTTGCCAGTACAGGGAGGTCATTCTGACACCTCATCTCTTCCTGTCCTGATTTCTTGTTCCCCTTGTCAATTTTATATTGCTTGGGAGTTGTTTTAGTTTGAATTTTGTCTTTCCCTTTTCAAAAGTGAGCTGTGAGACCATCACTTAGACTAGCCAGCATTTCTCTAGGGCAGGTTCCCTGGAGAGCAAGGGACTGCAGAGCAGCAGAAATGCCACTATGCCTGCCATGGCTGCAGCATTCCCAGGAACAGTTTGTTAGTGTATCTGTGCCCCTGTAGACATACTCTATGGGCAGACATTGCTCCTGTTTCAAGGAAGGGTCATTCAGTTAGGTTCACCTGATGAGACTGTGGCATGGTACAACCTGAAAATGTTTTGAATTAGGCTGGTAAACTTCAGTTTGGACTTTTCATGGTTTTATTTTTTCGAGGGGGTTGAATACTTGGTACCCGTTTGTACTTCGATAACAGCAGTCATGTGCTTGATATTGGTAGTGCCTCTCTTACCTTGTTGATTAAATCCCTTTAATCTTTGGCTAATTTTTAATGTCTGCTTTTGAATAACTTTTTGCTTGGCTTTAATTCATGCCAAGCCTGTGGCAGACGTGATTGCTAGTTCAACATAAATGTAGATTTGAGAACAGCTGTGTGCCTAGAGCACTTACATGGCAAGGAATCAATAGCAGTTTGTAGCTGGCATCAAGAGCCATGTTGTTAGCACTCTGGGAAAGGAGAGCTCTCATTTACCCTTTGCTGTTTTATTGTGTTGTACTGCTGAATTGAGCTTTCTTTCCCTGTTGGATTTCAGAACAAATCAACTGCAACATCACTTTCCATCAAAAATATGCTGCTGGTTTTGGTGTTGTATCTCGCTGTTCAGTGTTGTGTCCTGCTGTTCTTGGTCTTCCCCATCTGTAGAGCCATTTGATCAGGAGAGAAAGGTCAAAATCTGAAGTGATGGGCATTGTAGAGGCTCAGTTTATCTGCCAGTAATGCTTCATTACATTGAGTCTGAACACATGACCTTTCCTGACCAGCTCTGACTTCTTGTTTGTGTGCAGGTAGCGTGTGGACAGGACCACAGTCTGTTTAGAACCAAGAAAGGTTCAGTCTATGCATGTGGATGGGGAGCTGATGGACAAACAGGTAGGAGCTCAGCTCAGCTTGCTTTTCAGGGAATTGATGAATATAGCAAGTTGTCATAATTCACAGCTTATGACATGTATTTGTCATGCATGTGTGGACAGAAAGGGGCTGGTATGTTTCCAGCTGTGTGCAGATGTTCTTGGTACTCTTGTATAACCAAACTGAGACAATCCAATTCATTTTTGGAGGAGCTTTAGGATGCCAGGCAAGGCAATCCAAGCATGCGGTCTGAGAGAATGTGTCTGCTGTTGAAAGCTTCTGAGGGGATGTGGAAGTGACATGGGCAGCTCAGCTCCCCAGTTCTGTGCAGGCTTTGCCTTCCTGATTCTTGTTTCAGGATCTGTTTTGCTTCTTGCTCTTTTGAGCTGACTAAGCTCTGCTATCTTAGCATGGGATCTTTGGGCAGGCACTTTTTCTGGTGGCTTTTGCTGTCAGAGAACTTCCTCACATTCATTCCTACTGTTTAGTCCTGCTGCTCCCAAAGCTGTGTTCCTCCCATGTATTTTTGTGCCAATATGCTGTAGCCCATCTTTCTGTCATCTACATTCTGGTCTCTTTTCCAGGCACCAATTTGTCGTGTAAAGCGTTTGCTTCCCAGCCTCTTTTGCCACTTCTCTTGCTGTTGTCTAACTGATTGCAGTGTGCTGTCACTCATGGCTCTCCTTGCAGAAGACAAGGATGCAGCCAGGTTGTGAAACTTCATCTCTTGTCAGGATATCTGCCTGGCTTTATTACTGTTCTTCAATGCTTCGGTCCATGCAGACAAGAGAGATGAGACTGTTTTCCAGGTGTGATCATATAAAGTTGTTGTGTACTCCAGAGAGGTAGTTTTGGCTACTGGCAGTGGTGTTTATGGCTGCTTGCCCATTGAAGCTAAGCAGTATGGACAGAAAGATGTCTTTTGGAGGATGCGTGATTTTGTTACATGACAAAATGTTCCTATGCAGGCGTTAAAAGTGCATCTGGAAAAAATTCATCATCATCTCTCAACTTTTTTTCTTTCAGGTCTTGGACACTACAACATCACCAGTGTTCCTACTAAGCTACGTGGTGACATTGCTGGAGTAAACATTGTCCAGGTCTCTTCCTGTGGGGACTGTTGTCTGGCTGTTTCAGATGAAGGAGATGTCTTTGGTTGGGGAAATTCAGAATACTTGCAGTTGGCATCTGTCACAGAAACCACACAGGTCAGTTGGCCTGGGAGTGTGTTTTTACATGTTTCAGTTCAGCTGCTGTGCACAGAGTTAAAGATGATGCACTTATCCCTGCTCTGGGTCCTTCTGACAGCAGTGTAAATTGATATAAACTAATACTACTAACAGACTGCTTTTACCTATGCTTATAAAACCAACCTATCTGACATGTTTGTGTAGTTTTAGGGCAGTATGTTTCCCAGCTTTAATAGGCAAAGGCTTCTGTCTCCTCACCCCAGTTTGTTAGTCTAAGAACTCCATGAGACCCAGCTCAAGTGCTTTTGCGAGTTTCAGGACAGGAATTAGTCTTTTGGCTGACTAATCTCCAATTTCGAATGAACATCCTTAGTAGGTTTATAACTGAGTCTTAAGCAAATTCCAGTGTCTCACAGATAAAAGTTTTTTTGTAGCATACTTACATGGGGCAAAAATACAGTGCTGACTTCACACTAGGCATTGTAGTACTGAACTCATTAGGCAGATGGTCTCATCTTACAGTTAGTTTAGGAAGTGGAGTGAGGGAATTAATTAAGCTACTCTTGGCAGAAGGCTAAGAGCAAACAGTTTCATTAGAATGGCTTTAGCAAAATTTTAGAAACCTTTGTTTCCCATGCCTCTGCTGATCCTTAATGTAGGGCTAAATCCTGAGACCTGTAATGCCTGAAAACGGTTGTGCTGTGTAGTAGTTTTCCTGGCTGGGTGCTCGATGGAGGTCAGAGGGGTCTGAAATGGATGAATGGCAAAAACGAGAGTCTTAGCTACAATATAGATGAAGTCCAAATTGTGGAATAGCAGAGCTGTGAAATCAGAGATTGCTCTTTACATGTGTCAAGCTGTGTATGTTTCGGTTGTGTTGGACTGTACCAAATAAGTGCAATTTTCTTCTAGTGATTTTTCTCCAGAATGTTCAAAAATGCCACTGCAAACCAAATTTTAGTGATCTAGTCCATCGTGAAAACTTGCAAACATGTTGACGTATTGACTTCCCTGTTGTGTCTGACTTGGAGAACCAAGGGATAGAAGCAGACATTAGGCATTCCCAGCCTTGTTGTCTTTCATATAAGCTTTTCAGTGGGTAACCTTTTCCACCTTGTCCTCACCTTAATGAATTTCATGTAGTTTTTTTTTTAACTTTTAGACTTGCACTTACTCTGTTATTCAGGCAATAAAGGTTATATCAGGAATCCAGTGTATGTAAGCTCTAACCAGAACTAGAGGATAAGTAAAAATGTGTGTCTGGTTTGCAGTTTACCTTGTGTCTGACAACTCCTCTGCATTCTCATACAGGTGAATGTTCCCAGGCATTTGCCATTCAAGATTGGGAAGATAAAGGAGGCTGCCTGTGGAGGGACTGGCAATGCTGTGTTAACAGGTGAGTTCACTTCTAGGATCATCCACTTCAGTGCAAGGCCATGCAGTAGGTGAATTGTAACATCGTGGAACAAGCATGTTGTGTTCTGGAAATAGGTAAGTACTGTCCGTGACGAGGAGAGCTGTGAGACTGAGAAATCTGTGATTTAAGAATGTACTAGAGGAGTTGTTTTCACTAGTACAGAGCATTGCTTCCAGTGTGTGCTGTTTTGAGAGCTTCTGCAGACTAGAACAAGAGCATGGCTGCTGTTGCCTGTCACACGGGCCATGTGTGGTCTTTTCTTTGATGAGTATGGATATAGGGAGGAAGTAAGGCCACACTTCAGACTCCATATGAATCTGACACGTTTATAAATCTTGATAAACTAGGACAGAAAGTAGAGAGTTCTGAGAACAGTGGAAGTCTGCAGCAGTTTCTTAGTGACTGTTCTTGGAGTGTCGGTGGCTGGGGAGCACAGCTGGAGGGTTGCTGAGTGAAAGAATGAGGGAGGGGATTGTACTGCTTTTATGAAGGATTATCTTGAGGAAGATGTTCATATTTATGATGGAGTCGTTGTGATGACCAGACATTTGAGCTTCTAGTGTGAAGGGAACAGAGCTGACGTAGAAACTTACTCTGTCTTACACTGTCCAACTGCTGACTTTCTCAGGCACCCAGCTTAAGGCAGAATGCCAGGCAGAGTGATGAGCCTACTGGTGGTTTGGGCATGCCTCAAAGGAGAAAGCCATGACAATAAACCCTCAACCTCTATCCCATCAGTCAGTAAGCTGAAGTATTTTATCCAGCCCACACTGTCTTGGCATTATTTCCCTATGAAAGTTTTGCCTGGGAAGCTTGACTGCTTACACATCTTAGGAAAAAACTGAGGCATTTGGATGAGAACGCATTGTTTGCAGATTTGAAATAATCAAAAGGTGTTAGACTGGTCTGGGAGAAAGGAAAATATTGCTTTGGTTTTGATTAACTTTTGGTGGTGGCATGAATTTCACAAGCACAGACTTTCTTACAGAATGTGTTCTTATTATAATACAGAAGAAGGAAATATTTTTGTCTGGGGATATGGAATTCTTGGGAAAGGACCAAACCTAATAGAGACAGCAGTGCCAGAGATGATCCCACCCAGCCTTTTTGGCCAGTCAGACTTCAATTTGGACATCTGTGTTGCTCATATTCGCTGTGGACTCAGCCAGTTTGCAGCACTTACAAGTAAGTTTCTCATCCTGCTGTCGTGGGGAAGTCAGATTGCTGTGTTATTGGCAGAAAAGAAGACAAACCAAAAGAAAAAAAAAGAAAAACAAACCCCAAAAAAGCACCCATCTTTCTTGAAACTGAAAGCACACTGGAATGCAGCGGGGGGGCAGGCAGCAGGTTTCTGGCATACATACTGTGCTAACTTATGCATTAATTAAGAAAGTGTTATTTGTCTAAAGCAAACAAAAAAACTTCCTCTCAAACAGGAAACCTGGAAGGTTTTTCCATTTCCCTGTACAGAATTTGTGCACTTTAGGAGCAGCACGAATTTATAAATGATAAATGAACAAATCAAAACTGAGTCTAAGTGGAGCTGGATGTCAGGGTTTCTTGGCATTTCTGACCAGTTGAGTTAACAGCCCAATGTGGGCAGACCTGGACATTTAACATGCAAAGGGTATGACACTGTGCTCTGTGCACCCTGTGTGAGTTCCCAGCCTTTGAAGGGTTTGGAATTTGAAAGTCATTTGACATCAAGCAGCAGAGGGCAGCAGCACAGACACCCACAGCCAGTGTTTGTGGAGGGGCACCTCAGTGCCGGTGCCGCGTCCTTCGGGGCAAACGGCGTATGTGACACTGTCAGTCTTGCAGGGTGCTTGTAACTGGGCTCCCCTTAGTGTTCAGGAAGTATTAGAAACCATGTTTTGATTAAACTATACATACTTTATAGATTGTGTTTTGGTTGTCTCTGCAGTGGGGCTGATCCAAACACTTCCAAGATCTACATATTTTCCTGCGGAGCATAAAACTTTTAACTCTGTTAAACATAAGTTTTTGCTTTTCCCCAGCTGTTACTAGAAGGTCACTTCTGTCAGGCAGCTGAATAAGCAGTCCCCAGGTGATGGCTTGGGACAGATCTCACTGTCTTGCTTACTGGATTTGCTTATAGCTGATATGGATCAGTTCCAACTGTCTGACTTCCAGCACAAATTATTCATTTCACAAATGATTCCCTGGAATTTCTTCTGCTGCGCTCTTTCTTCAAATAAAATGCTAAAGCAATAGCTATAAGAGGGGGAAACGAAGACTTGTGCACAGAACTTGTTGCTTCTCCTGCTCATTAGGCATTTTCCCCAAACACAAGTACATTTATTGTACCTTGAAGTAACTTGGTTGCTGTCATACTGCTTGTATAACCCTGTATACTCCCAGAAACACTGTAGCCACATTTGCCAACATCACAAATAGAATTTGTCCTTTTTAATGTCTCTGTTCTTTTCTATTATTTTTTTTCTCCTGTGTAGACAGAGGAGAACTGTTTGTATGGGGCAAGAATCTAAGAGGGTGCCTGGGAACTGGAAGAATGGAAGACCAGTATTTCCCATGGAGGGTGAGGATTGTGATATTAACGCCAAGAGTATATTCTTTGGCTAGTTTTTTTTGTGTGGTTTTGTTGAGTAATTCTGAAAGAACTGGAAGTCTAAGATGACTGTAGAAGTGCTTTTTTTTCCAGAGGTCCTTGTGTAGCCTGCTTAGGGATGGAGGTATTCAGTAAACCTTTTAGTCTACTATGCCAGTAATGATTTCAGATCCTGAAACAGCATCTGGTGCTGTGCCACCACATCTGAACAGTTCTCATCTCCTTCCTGTCCATCATCATCTACGTGCTGCCCTTACTGCCTCTTCCCTCCTCTTCTAACCTGCGCTTCAGTTTTGTATGTGCTGCAAAGAAAACCACCAGTATTGGTCACCTGTCCCAGAAGAAATTACTTATCTAAATTAGGTGAACATTTTGGTCATGGTGCTCAGACTGTCGTGGCTACAGGTCTGCATAGTGGTGGGCTTCCTTCCCAGCTGTGATGGTGGGTCACTGGACTGACTGTGAGGTTACAGTAGGAGATCCTTATTCAACTGTTTTCATAGCTGTTGCATAGCACTTCCAGTTCTACTCCCTTCCCTCAGATGGCTCTGAGAGCCAGACTCAGTGAATGTAGAAGAGTCCTTGGCTCTGGAGTTCAGCCTAACTGATGTACCTGGTCTCCATGAAGGCCAAGTAGGAGAGGAGGCAGGCAATCAGTGGGACTACTTTGGAGTTCCTGTTCATGTGTCTGAGCTTGCAGTGGATGTGTTTCTGTAATGTGTTTTCTCCTTCTTGTAAACATGAATAGAATCAGACCAGCTCTGGAACATTTGCCTAAAATCACATTGCTGTGGCTGAGTGGAATTTCTGAATTCTCCAAGCGTGGCACATCCAGGTTTCCCTATGTGTGGACGTTGGGGGTTATGCTCCTTCAGACAGCCAACTCCTGTCTCACAGTGCTATGGCAATGTGCTGGGATCCTTGTCTGTGACCTCCTCTTGTCCAAGAATTGGCCAGCTGTCCTCTCTCTTAGCTCTAAGGAAAAACTTGCTTTTTTAGCCTCTGCTTTCCTCAAGTTTGAGGTCAGCTTTAAGTGAAGGGGCCTGTAATTTCAGGAGTAAGGAGTTGGTCTCTTAGTCGAAGCACAAACTGCCTTAGGCTGAGTTGAGCCTTTGCCTTGTTCCAGTTCTTGCTGATGAGAGAAGAGGCAAATCCTTGTGGTGCTTGGGCAGATGCTCTTCCTGCTCTCTGTTCAGTCATGCTGCTTCTGCTGCTGAACAGATGGGCTGAGGCTACAGTCTCATGGTCTGCTAGTGAGCCAGCTCTCCTGTCCTTCCAAAGCTTTATCTGCTTCTGTGAAGGAAAAAGAGGAGTATTTCACAGCTCAGTGCACAAGCATGCCTGGTGCTGAATCTTGTTCTTTCTGGGTTTTCAAGTTGGCACTTCCATTGGTACAAGGCCCTGTGAAACCAGCTGGCACGTTGAGCAGAAGAGCTTGAGAAATAGGATATATCAGGTGCAGAGTACTGGCTTGATAAATAACCCATTCTCATGTATCTCATCCAGGTGACTGTACCCGGGGAGGTGGTGGATGTGGCATGTGGAGTTGATCATATGGTAAGCCTGGTCAAGTCTTTTACCTAGCAATGCTGCTGGGCCTCAGCACTGTGCCAGGGCGATGGGGGGACTTGGTGAAGAGCTTCTTGGAAAGGAAGACTCATTCTGTGAAGCTGAGTGATTGTGAGCAGAGACAGCCATAGCAGTGCCTGGGTGTGTTGTCATCTCTGCATCCTTGAAACACTCTGCCCTGGCTGCAGGAAGGAAGCACATTCCTTGAGGAGTGTGGAAATGCAAAGAGTGTTCTGGCTGGTTCATGATGAGCTCTCTGAGAATCTGAGGCCCAGCCCCAAGCTGGTGAGCCTCTCTGTGCCTGAGGATGAAGAGCATCTCCCTCAAGGAAGGCTGGCATGGGATGAAATCTACAGCATAGGACATTGATTTATGGACACTCCCTGTCACCAGCTCTGGGGTGTCAGTGTTGAGCAGAGCCAAACTATTTTTCAAGGGGAAGGGTTTTTTTTTATAGCTGTTTTTTATGTGGAAGAGAGGTTTTGCTGGCTCTTGAAGCCCATCACAGCTGTCCTGAGTGGCCACCCCCAGCTGCACTGTGCCTGGGCTGCTGTCCCATGCAGAAACTGGAAGCACAGCTGGATACAGAGTGGTGGCCTAGAGGCAGTGGTGTGCCCATGGGCTGTTGCAGCTTTCTGTGTCAGCACTAAAGGCTGAACAGCCGAGGAACACATTCGAAGAGTGAGAACCTGTTTGCAGGGGAAAGTACTGTTAAATGAGACAGCAGGGAAAGATCAGTCCCAGGCTGTCTGCGCTGCTGTGGCTGTGGGAGGACAGATAGATGGTGACAGAAGCCCATCTAGCCTGTCATGGGAGGGAGGCTGGAAACAAAGTCCCTGCTCAGCTACCTGCTGACTTGGTGCCAGGCACGGATCTCAGCAGTGCTCACTACTCCTCAGGTACTTTTGTCTCCTTGTGCTGGTCACACAACACGGTCTTTGATTTTTTTGGGGGGAGTCCCTGCACTCTTTCTGTTTTCAGAGGACGGCAGCTCTCAGTTGCAGTTAGCTGGGGTTTTCAGGATTGCCTAGCAGGGGAAGGAGTCTTAATGGGTGAGAAGCAGAGCCTCATTCTTAGCAGTAAGGTGATGGAAATGGGATGCAACAGCTGTATGTACCTGTAGCAGGCACTTACCAATTTCACATCCAAGAATGGGAAACTGTCCCCTGTGAAACACTTCAAACATCAGGCAGAATTGTCTTTTCTCTCTGTGGGATACTTCTACTGTGCAAATTATTTTGTCAAAATCCAAGCTGATATGTTTTAAATAAAGTGATTATAAAGTCTTTATTGGTAGTAATAGGAATATTCTTGAGCATGACTTCACACATGAGCCTCTCTGTCTTGCAGTCTGCATTTAAACTTCAGCATTTTGGTTCACAGTGATGTGAGAGGAAACAACTTCTGTCAGCTGAGCCACCTTCACACCTGCAGAACTGATACTGTTGTAGTCAGGCACTGCATCTATGGCCCCAGGGACATCACATAGTCACATTTTGGCTTTGTTAGATGAAATTCTGTGCCAAAACTCAGGGTTTAAACTTTACCTTGATGAAATAAGTCTTGAAAGGCTTTTCATAAAATACAGGAAAGGTGAACCAGTGTCCACAGAAATAGAGACACATCTCTCAGTTCTTACTGACGTTCCTGTGAAATGGGTATTGCTGGGTGGGTTGAGGCAGAACAAGCAGAAAGCTACTGTAAAATTGGTAGACCTTCACTGCTCTGAATTCTCATTTAGTTAGCTTTAATTTATACCTGATTCTACATGCGACGTGGGCAACTTGTGGTGTCCAGAGCCTCATGGGAGTTGCTGTGCCCTTTTAACATGAGGAGGCTTATTAAAGCATTGAAAACAAATTCAAAAACTCTTGTAAGAAAGGTGTTACAAACAATTCCCGTCATGGATGTTGCTGTTGAGGAGGGCTGGTTAGTGCTGGGCTCTCAGCTGCTCTCATGCACAGCTGTTTCCCAGTGCACCTTGGGGCTGGGCCTTCTGCAGAGCTGGGATGAGTTAGTGCCATGTCATACCTTGTTGTGTAGCAGTCTTGCTGTGCAATAAATTGAAAATTGTGTGTTAATGAGATGCCAATGAGGTCTTGAGCCCTAAATAGAAGTGTTGTGTGGCTTAATGCAGTGGGGGCATTTGTGCTTTCATTACAGTGGCTGTGGGATTCTCAGACACTGCTTGGTGGGAACCAGGTTAATGGCAGTGGGTCTGCAGTTCAGCAAGACCAGCACTCACCTTTGTTTTGGTTACAGTGGCAGGGGGGCAATTTGACCTTGGTCAGGTGCTGCCCGAGCTGCTCTGTTACCATCTCCCCTGCATCAACAGGACAGAGGGAGAAGATCTCAAGGAAAGCTTGTGGGTTGGGATAAGGACAGGGGATCACTTACACATTACCATCATAAGCACAACAGATTCATGTTGGAGAAATTATTTTATTGCTGAGGAATAAGAAGAAATCTAAAACTGCCTTTCCCATACCTCTCTCTTCTTCCCAGGCTCATCCTTAATCCTGGTTTTTCTGTCTCCTCCCTTTCCTGCACTGACCTTGGTGTCTGCATGGTTGTCTCTCACAGATTCTCACTCTATCCTGGCTGCTGCTGTGCAGCAGTTTTCCCCCTTCTGAAGTGTGCTCTCCCAGAGGTGCTGCTACCATTGCTGATGGGCTCGGTCTTGGCTCAGAAAATGAAAATACCCTCTTTGCCCTGCCACCCCTTACCTGTTGAAGACAGGCCCAACCTGTGTGGCTTGTGCTCCTCCCACAGGACTGAGGGGCCCTGCCATGCTGGGGTGACCCCAGGTCACTACCAGTGTGCACTGCAAGGCAACTCTTTATCATTTTGTCCTTCAAAGTATGGTAAAGTAGCCCAAAATACACCTGCATTCCTAAATATACCTGCAGCGAGGGGGGTGGGGGCCAGGGATGCACATGGGGAGCAGCTCAAATTAGAGCTAGAATAACCTACTTGATTTGGCATTGATTACACGAGTAATTCGCCCTCTGAACAGCACCGTGCCAGCACGTTTGGCTTAAAATAGCCCAGAAGGGCACAGAGCCCTGTGCATGTACAGTTCCAAGCACAGCAGTGGCTGAGGGAGCTGCAGGAGAGATGGATGAAAGGTTCAAGCCCAAGTGCCCTGTCCACACCCTGCCATCCTGCTGGCAATTTCCTGCTGGAGAGCTGGCCCCAGCATGGCCCCTGGGCCACCTCGTGAGCCCCTGCACAGCAAGGCTGGGCTCATCTTGTCAGCAAACTGCCCAACGGGGGAGAAAACACACGAGTGCCTGTAAGACAAAGATTATCTTGGGCACTTGTTGCATTACAGCAGATTCTTTTCTCTGCAGGATCCTTCAAAAACAAATGACTCAGAGAACTAATAATTAGCCTGCAGCATTCAAAATAATAACTCCCAAAATAATATTACTTCATCATGACTCATCAGAATCTATTTTTTTAGCATTTTTTGCGAGGGGCTGGAGCCTCGCCCATCCCCCAGCGGCCCAGCACCTCCTGCTCAAAGGTGTGAGCCTGGGCAGGTGAGGTAACTCAAAGGCTAAAAGCCTCTCAGTGTGTGCAGTGTCTTCAGGGTCTGAACACCAGTTTAACAGCCTAGATCCTGTTATTTACCCTAAGATGACAGTTGCTTTTGCAGGGAATGACAGGCAGTGCTGAGATTGTATGGCAGTGCCTGTGTTGATTTATTTGTGTATAATGGATTAAACCCTCAAGGCAGTGCTCTGCAGTAAGGCTGCATTCCAGATTAGCAATCCCACGCTAATTTCTTACGTAAAGGCTCTTACACTTGACTGGAAGAGTAAAAAATATGTTACACTATGCTAAGAAGGAGATACTTTACTTGACCACAGTTTATGCAGTTGAGCTGCTTCCCTTTAAACATCCACTATAAATGGTTACAACTGTGAGAGGGTGATGATACGCCTGATTTCACTGTTTTTCTTGCACATTTCAGCCAGGTTCTTCAGCTCCTCCTTGCAGAGAATCATGTGGCAATGGTGCTGTGCAGCCACGCTGCTGACTGAGACTCAGGACCCAGCAGTGACTGCCCTAACATAAGCCATGAAAGGGCTGCAGGGCTCTGGGGATGCTTCACTGGGATCTCTGCTGGAGCTCTCCAGGCTCCTGGGCATCTTGCACCCTGCAGAGAGCCAGTAAAAAACTAAGTCTGGCAAATACACTAGCAGCATCCCACTAACCTTGTCTCTTAAGGAAATAGGACAGGGCATGTTTGTGGCTCCCAGAGAAGAGCTGAAGGATGGAAATGGTGGTGGGTACCATCAATAGGGGTACAGTACACCTGGTGATAGGTCCTGGACACTGGAGAGCCTTGGGGATGTCTGCTGGCCTTCCTAAATGGTGTGAGGCCCAGTGTGGCTGTAAGCGAAAGAAATTAGAGTTACATCTTATAGACAATGCCAAGCTCTGCTTTATTTTCATCAGTTTGATCAGTACAAAAGCAGACAGCATAAGTTTCACTTTTTATTCTTTTTTCATTTTAATTACTTTACAAAGTACAAAATATACTGTCATTTATTTTGGAACATTAGGATTTTTTCTTTTTTTCTCTTTTGTTGTGTTTGTTTTTTTTCATACAGTACATAAATCTCAGCTTTTCAGCATAAGACCAGCAAAAAAAAAGCAGCGTGTGCACTCACTGGGAAAGCAAAGCAGCCACTTCTCAGCTCCATGCCATGCCCAGCACATGATCCCCAGCTGGCCACCACTCCCTCTGCCCCATGGTGTATCATCCCCCCTCGTGCAGAGGTCACAAAGGAGACTGATGCATTCAGGCTCCACTGTGCCTTGTGACCTCAAGCTCACAGGAGCTGCTGCCCACACGGTGCTCAGCCCCACTGGGTCCACAGGCACTGCCCACACGGCTGCAGCCCAGAGCAGGGGGTGTAGCCCAGGTCCCTGCACTGGGAGGATGCCCCCCTGCCCTGGCAGTTTGCATTAGTCTGGTAATTAAAGGAAAATAAATACACTTTTTTTTTTGCACACTCTCCCCCCTTCCCCCAGTGGAAACCTCCATGGGGTTTCTGAGAGGTGAGCAGGGACAAGAGGCTGCAGGAGGCTGGGGTTCCCAGCCCCACTTCAGCCAGTTTGGTGGGTGTCTGAGGCCAAAAGTGGTATTTCAGTTACCAAGCAAATACTATATAAATAACTTATTAAATAAAGTCGTAAAGATTTGTGTTTCCTCCCCAGGCTGTCCAGCACAGCTGTTCCAAGCAGCTTCTGCACCAGGAGCCTCTCTGCTCTCTTGGCAGTTCTAGGAATTTGGGTTCATGCTGTGGCCATCCTGGGCATCTGGAGAGAATCTGGGCTCCTTCTTGAGTCCAGACAAAGGGGAGACAGAGAGAAATGCTCAGTCTTGTTCAAGCCACTTGAGGCACTAATAAAGTGGTGCTGCACTATGGCCTGAATGTGCCCTGTGCAGTGGAGGCGTAACTCTGCACTCTTCAACCCTTCAGGGCTGATGGCTTGCTGCAGCTTAGCCCAGAGGAACCAAACTAAGAATTTGCCCTAAGCACTAATGAGGAGGATGAGGCTCCCTCTGTGCAATGTTCCCCCTGGACTAACCCTCCCTGGCTGCCTCGTGGTGCCCAGAGAGGAGGGGACGACCAGTGTGAGCCAGTGCTGCACTGTGGAGCTGCAGCCCGAGCCGTTGTAAGGAGGGGCTGCAGGTCCAGAGCATGTTCCCTGGGCACTGTGACCCAAATCCCAGCAGCACCGGGACCTGCTGGCATAGTGGGAGCAGGTGAACATGTTAACCAAATTGAGGTCCTCACCCCCCTCTAATTTTAGTTAAAACGAGGGGAGAATGGACTTTGTGGGGAGGGAGTGAGACAGGCTCTTCCAAAGGCTTAAACAGAGCATCCAAAACTGGATCCTACCGTGAGTCACTGCCTGGCTGCCTCCTCCTCTGCCTGTCCCAAGAGCCATGATCATCCTACTGCTCTGGTCACCAGGATGAGTGTGTTCCCTCTGTCATGGCCGTCCTCAGCTGCTGCAGGCACAGCACGGAGGAGGAGGATGCACTGGCAGAAAACATGACTGCCACAGTGCTAAAATGAATGTCCTGCTCCTCAACTTCATGTCTCACAAGCCCCAGCACCAAGCCTGGAGCCCACGCATGGGGGAGGGATGACAGAATACCCAGCCACGGGCAGCAGGGACAGGGTACAGGACATTGCTGGCTGTGACACTGAGCACAGTCCTGGGCTGGAAAGAGGCAGGTGAGTGTCCCTACCCTCTGCATTTCC